CTGATCGCTTCTTGTATATTCCCTTCCTCCTGTCTAAAAACAAAATTGTTTGTGTCCTTCCAAATTCTCCAAATGGTGAATAAGAACACAATTCCCCAAGGAATGTGGTAGATCTCATTTTCCTTGTTATTCAGATTGTGTTGAAGCCATTGTTCCAGAGGTTGTCTCTCACTTGACCTTACCTGAACAAGATTTGTTCTGTAGGATGAACAACCACTACAATTGGTAAAACCAACCACAACTTTGCAAAAGAATTTTATCCAGAATCATAAAGCTTAGTTGAGATTTAATTGATTATTGTATAATGAGATCTATAAATAGAATGAATTCAGAAAATGTATTTTAATTTTTTTAAATAAAAATTCTAAATATATAATGTTATTTATTCTTTATAATTCTAACGAATTTGAATCCACTCCTAGTGTATCAAAATCATCCTATGGTTTTGACCCAAAAAAGAAAAAGGAAAAAAAAAATTGAATCCTTAATCATCCCTAACCAGCGACCATTCCCTCCTTTTGCCTTGTTCAAGGATCAATGTTTGTTGATTTTCTTCAAGTATGAGCCATTGCTGCTCTAAATATAGTTTCTTTTTATTTTTCTGGTTGTAGTAGCAAGAAAGAAGGCCCAACAATGGTGATCCTCAATTTTATATTTATAAAATTTCTCATTAGTTTTAGAAAATTACATCGAATTATATTTTTTTCAACATTAAATAAATACAAAAATCACGTCATTTTGTAGTACAAAGTGCAGAGAATTCTGATTCTAGTCCAGATTTTTTTTTTTAAAAAACAATTAACATAAATCGTTGTTAGTTTCGTAGATTTCTAGTTGTCTCTCACTTTTTCTTTTTTCAAATAAGTAAATAATTTATTTGTTATATGCATATTTTTTATACACATAAAAACTAGAATAACTGGACATTATTTTAAATCAATGAACTATGCTAACAAAAAATATGGATCATCTCCTTTTTCATGTGACTCACCTTTTAATTAAATTCCCAATATTATATATACATTTTTTTTTTCATCAATAAAAAAAAGAAGTCGACAGGAATACAATATATTTTCTAAAAATTTGTCAAATCCAAACCACATGCGGAAAAAAGACTAGAAATATCACTAGACCACCATCCCTGGTGGTTATATATATATACAGAGTTATGTCAAATAGGTGTGAATCGTTGGAAAATGTCTACTATCACTGATTAATTAATAAGTAATGTTACGTATCATAAAAAAATATTATGAAAATAATTATGAAAGATTCTCTACCGTGAAATTATATATACAAGAAAACATCACACACTAATTAAGGGATGAAAAATCTTTATAAAGTATTTTATAATATTTTTTTCATAATCCCTAATATTATTCTTATTTAATAGTTATTATATTCACATTTCTACATGTACATTGAGTATTTGCTTCGTATCCATGTTATTAATTTAGATAAAAACGCAAAAGTGAAAGTATCATGATGTTTCGCAATAAGGAAGAAATGAAAAGTTGTGGCAATCAATTCAAACAAAAAGGCTAAACATGGATTTGTTATGGCAATTATATCTCCAATTCATCACCATACACTCACAACAAGATATATATTCTGTTATATAAATCACATAATTCATAACCTTTATATTGCACTTTTATTTATTAAAAATATTTCTAAAATTGATAACTGTTAAAATTCAGAATAATTATCAAAGAATTTTGTAATTCAATTCTCATTTCCAAAACTGTTACAAAATTTACAAGTACAATTACAAACATATGATATCATCATTTTTTCTTTTTAAATCAAGATTGCAAATCATCATTTTGGGTAGACTTTTGTTATATATTGCGCATTGCAATTCCATTATTCTAAGGTTCAAATCGTGTTACACTTTAATTATAAATATATGATGTGATACATATGCAACCTATCCTGATAATATTGCACTTAAATAAAGCAGAAGAGAAGTGACCAGAACCACTTTAGAAAAACGTTTTATTATTAGATTTATTATTTTAACTTCTAGAAGAAATTTTATTGTTCAACACTGTAACCAAGTAGGTAAACCCAGCTTTATTCTTACTTTACTTTTCCATTTGCCCAGCTAGAAAATCAAAAATTATCATATGGATCAAAAAGATTACATGACTGTATGTCCATTTAGTAGTATTCTTTTATTTCTTCGTCATTTTTTTATATTTGCAACCCAATCTTTTCATAAATATTTTAATCAAACCACTAATGCGCGATTCCTACAAATGATTAAATGTAATGTTGGATCAAAAGGGTTTTTTTTTCTTTTTTTTTTGGAAGAAACACTTTCAAAATTTCTTTCTGAATTTTTAAAAATTATTTTTGCACAAAATTGGAAACATCTGAAAACAATTAATCCTTTCGGTAAAAACAAAAATAAAATTTGATAATGGGTACCAAATTGTTTTCTTGACATGTTGCCAGTAGAAATTCCGTGAAGGGGACCTTCATTTAAGATAGAGAAGGGGCAACCCCATAATCATTGTTACACAAGACTAATGCAATACAAACTATAAGAAATTCAAATTCTTCGATACAAAACCTAACAATATCACACATCACTTTATTGGCACCATAAATCTATAATTTTATTATTTATATAATTACAGAACAATTAGCACCCTCCTACCAAGTTGTCGCAAAAAATATGACATTTTGAGACGGCACAACTTGCCGTCGCAAAAACTGTGACTTTTTGAGACGGCACAACTTGCCGTCGCAAAAAATAGAGTATTTGAGACGGCATAAAATGCTGTCGCAAAAAAAAATTAGAGTATTTGCGATGGTAGAGATTGCTGTCACAAAAAAATAAAGTTTTTGCGATGGTACAAGCTGCAGTCGCAAAAAAAAAAAAAAGTTGCGACATTAATAGGTACCGTTGCAAAAAAATAAAAAAATAAATAAATATATATATATATATATATATTGTGGCTTTGAGACGACTTCATATATATATAGTCACAAAATGGTTTAAATAAATGCAACGGTATTTTTCTATCACAAAAAAAATTTAAAAAAAAAAACGACGTCGTCTTACTCTTTTGAATATTTCTCTTTTCACCCATTTTTTCATCTTCATATCTCTCTGGCTTTGTCTCTTTTCTCTTTCTCTCTCTTACTCATTACTCTTCTCTGTCTGCCTGTCTCTCTCTTTCTCTATGTGTCTGTCTCTCTTCTCTCTCTCTCTCTCATTCATCACTCTTCTCTGTTTGTCCGTCTCTCTCTTTCTCTCTGTGTCTCTGTCTCTCTTCTCTTTCTCTCTCTTACTCATCACTCTTCTCTGTCTGTCTGTCTCTCCCTTTCTCTATGTGTCTCTGTCTCTCTTCTCTCTCTCTCTCTCACACTCATTACTCTTTTATGTCTGCCCGTCTCTCTCTTTCTCTCTGTGTCTCTGTCTCTCTTCTCTTTCTCTTTCTCACTCAACACTTTTCTCTATCTGTCTGTCTGGCTGTCTCTTTTTCTCTGTGTCTCTCATCTATCTCTCTTCTCTCTATCTCTTTCATCTATCTTCTCTCTCTGTCTCTCTTCTTTTTTTTTCTCTCGCTTTGTCTATATCTTTTTACCCATTTTTTCATCTTCCTCTCTCTCTTTTCTTTCTCTCTCTCATTCATCACTCTTTTTTCTCTGTCTGTCTATTTGTCTCTCTCTCTCTGTGTCTTTCATTTATATATCTCTTCTCTCGTCTCTTTTCTCTCTTTGTCTCTTTCGCTCATCTCTCTTCTCTTTATCTCTCTCACACATCTCTCTTCTCTCTATCTTTCTCACCTCTCTCTCACTCATCTCTCTTCTCTCTGTCTCTCTCGTTCATCTCTCTTCTCTCTGTCTCTCTCGTTCATCTCTCTTCTCTTTCTGTCTCTTTTTCTGTCTTTCATCTCTATCTCTTTATCTTTTTTTTTTCTCTCTCTTTCTCTCTCTCTTTCTTCTATTTCTCTCTCTCTCTCTCTCCCACTGTGTTCGCATTGCTCACTCTCTCCTTTTCGTCTTCTCTATTTACTGAGCTCTCTCTCGATTTATCGATCCACTACAAGAAAATACACTTTTAACGACCACTTTGTCTCTCTCTCGCTCACCACTCTGTCTCTGTTTCTCTCTCTCTCTCATCTATCTGTCTCGCACTCATCTCTCTCTCTCTCTCACCACCCATTTCCTCTACCACCTTCACCACTACTGCAAACGCCATTTCACTACCACCACTACTACCACGGTTGCCACTTCACCTCTACGACTACCATTACTACTACCATCGCCACCACTCTACTACCACCACTACTACTATTGCCACTACTACTACTACCATTATCTCTCCTTCACCCCTGTCACTCCATCTACTCTACCACTACCACAACTTCACCACTTATCTCTTTCGTCGTCATCACCACCACCACCACCACCGCCATCATCTCTTATCCACCACCTTCACCATTACTGTCGCTTCCTCTCCTCTACCACAAAATATTACCTCTACTTCTACCAAATAAAAAATAATAATATATTTTTTTCATTAAAATAAAAATAAAACAAATAATTTTTCAATCTTAATAACTAAAAAAGAAAATGATTTTTTTTATAAAAAAAAATTCATTAACTACAAAAAAAAAATTATTTTAACAAAAAATAATTTTTTTTGGCAACAGCAACCCACGTCGCAAAAAAAATAAAAATAAAAAAAAGGGTTAAACTACGTTATTTAAGTTTGTTGTTTAAATTTCATTTGTGACCAAATTTTTCTTTTTTTTTTCATTCCCGCTTTGTTCCCCCCAGCAATGCTACAGACCCCCAGTGGGGGTGACCCCCAGTGACCCCCCAGTGCCACGTGTCGGCCTGGGGTTGGCTGAAAACTCAAAAAAAAAAAAAAAAAAAAAACTATTTTTTTGGACCAATGGGAGGGGCCCAGTACCCCCACTGGGGTCCAAAGTTTTATTCCCCCCCCCTTTTTTTTTTCCATTCCCATTCTGTACCCCCATTTCCTTCTTTTTTTTTCCATTCCCGTTCTGTACCACCTCCCCCAACCCAAACAAAAAATCCCCAATCTCAAACCCCCCGCCCAAAACCAAAAATTCCTAATCTCTTCTTACCCCTCTTTCTCTCGATCGACGACACTCTATTGTCATTGCCAAGTCATTCTCTCACACGGTTAACTTGGCTAACCTCGCTGAGGAGGTTTAGATTGCTTGCTGTCGACGAATCAAGTTGAAAAAAGGGGATTTTGCTGATGAGAACTCGGCAATGACTGAATCAGACATTGAAGAAACTCTCAAGAGACTTGTGGGGGAATTGAAGAAATCTCCTGAAGAAGTTTTTGATGCTCTGAAAAATCAAACTGTCAATCTGGTCTTCACTGCTCACCCTACTCAATCTGTCCGTAGATCTTTGCTTCAAAAGCACGGAAGGTTTGTCATTAAATAGTTTGCAATCTTTCATTTGTGTTGTCAACGTGTTATAATCTTTGATGCTATGAATTGTTTTTTATTTGCTTTGATCAATCCCTTATTTTTTTCGGTCAGGATTCGTAATTGTTTAACCCAATTATACGCCAAAGATATCACTCCTGATGATAAGCAAGAACTTGATGAGGCTCTACAGAGGGAGGTAAGTTTGACTGCATAATGCATTAGCTTATATATGCCATCATGCTTTGGCATTTTTCCCAATACGTGACAAAGATGATGAAGAAGTCCTTAAATCTCACAGATTTCTTTATTTTTAATCATGCACCCAAATTTTATACTGTTACTTCTTGGTAGAAGTAATGTTTTGTAATGCATGTCACTCTCTAACATGGCTGATGAATCTGGAGATTTATTTATTTATACATGGAGAGAGAGATTGAAGGAGAAAAAAATAAGATGCTCGCTTACCTCTATGTGTGTGTCTCTTTTTTTTTGGGGTGTGTGGAAGTGATATGACAATCAAATTAGGGATTAGGTGAGTCCACAACCATGAGGACTAGACTCTTCAGTCCAAATTAATGAGTTTGCTTCGCAGTTGGTAGTATATTGAGACAAAATGATAGAAAAATTTGAATAATGAAAATTTCGTCCCATAAAATTAATTACATGTACATGGAATTAAATTTTGATTCAACCCGAGCTCGCGTTCTACAGACATATAAAATGTTGCATTATTATTATTATTTTTATTGCTTTCATAATAATCATGTTTGCATTTTTTATTTCAAATTTTATAATGTTTGATTAATCATGTGTTTGTGTGGTATAAATGAATTGATGAAGTGTAAGGTTTATATATAAAATAAATTTGAGTTATTAATTTTTTAGGTAAATTTTGGATTTCTAGTATTGTTGATTTGAGATATGCATAAATTTGAAATTCATGATCAATAAAATTTGTATTATTGTAAATTTTATGTCTGCACAAATTTAATGACTGTCTTTGAATGGTATGTTAATTGATCAACATTTTTAAAGAAATTAATTCTTTTATAAAATAATATATAGTTGTGTATTCAATCAAATTATTCATTTATTTGAGGATATAGAACCATTGTTGTTAATTGGACATGTTTTCACTATGGTATTTTTGGAAAACGAGATTATTACTCGGTGCTGAGATGTTTTGGAAACTTTCAGATTACCAAAGAAAGATAACATATGAAACTTATGGTTGGCAAGTGAGGATGTAGCTCAAATGGTATGCGTTCGCTTTGCATGCTCCAAAATTTTACTTTTATTTTTTTGTAGTTTTGTTTCTAGCTTTACTGGTTCACCAAATTAAACACATCTTATGCTAAGAGTTGGGAGATCGTCACTTTGTTTCTCGTCCTCAATGAAGCTTTCAGTTCCCGAATTAAACTACTTGATTTTTGTTGAAACGTAATCCTTCCATCCATCTCATTGCACATTAAATTCATTTTTCCATTCAACTTTGTTTAGCTTGGAAAATAAAAAACAAGTATTTTTTGAGAGGTGACTATTGTTTAATTTTACTTTTTAAAATTTTGCAAGTGAAATTCAAAATTTCTTTTATATTGGATTTTGGGCAATGTAAATAATGAAGTTTAATCCAAAAAAAAAATCTCACATCAAAAGTAGTACAGAATCTTATCATAACAATCGAATGGAAAGAAGTTTGGTTTGATGAAGATGTAATAAACAAAACAATTGACAGTCTGTTAAGACAAATAGAATCGTTAGTATTTATTCTGTCCATCTAATCACTTTATGTCAAATAGAGAATATTTATTTATTTCCCAACTTCATCCAAAAAATTGAATTTTGATTTTTTTTTTTTTAGATAACCAAATAAAAGTTTTAAAATTTTTAAAAAATTGAAGTCAGAATTTAAGAATCAAACAGGGTGATTAGTTTTTGTTACAGTATTAAAATTTATAATTTTTTTTTTTGTATTTGATGCTATAGTAGTTAAATTTTTATTTTTGTATTTGATTGAGATGTTTAATTATCCATGTGGAATTTGATGACTAACAAAAAAAATGTTATATTTGATGCTATAGTAGTTAAATTTTTATGTTTTTTTGTAATTAACATTAACACATAATTATATTGTCATTAATTATTTTTATTTTTATTTTTCAGATATTTCCCATGTAGGAGTGTGCTTCTTGCGGAATGCATGCTTGTGGAGAATGTGGCTAACTTTTGTTTTTGTTATCTACAAAGAATGATGAGAAAAACATTTAATTTTAGTTTATGTTATTTTGAATTATGAACAAAATCATGTATTTAAACATTATATATGTATTATGGAACATTATGTAGTGGGATAATTTTGTTGATGTGTAATTATGAATGGAAGCATATTTTATTATGAAGAAATTGTTATTTTTATACAAGAATTTTTATATTATTATGCAATTATTATGGAGAAATTTTAATATTTTTAATAATTTTATCACATGATGTTTTTTTTTCTTTTTTGTGACGGCACTACACCGTCGCAAAAAACAGAAAATTTTATTATTTTTATTGATTTTCTTACAGGTTTTACTTTTTGTGACGGCACTAAACTGTCGCAAAAAATAGAAATTTTATTATTTAAAATAGAAATTTTATTATTTTTTTAATACTTTTTGCGACGGCAGTACACTGTCGCAAAAAATAGAAATTTTCATATTTTTAATACTTTTTGCGACGGCACCACACCGTCGCAAAAACAGTGTTCTTGTCGTTGCAAAAAAAAAGACTATTAGCGACGGCATTTTTTGCTGTCTCAAATAACATTTTTAGCGACGGTAAAATAGTGTCGTCGTAAAAAGTCAAGAAATTTCAAACATTATTAGCGACTACAAAGTGTCGTCGCAAAAGGCAAAAATGCTGTCGCAAAACATTAGCGACAGCACTGTGCCGTCGCAAAAACTCTTTTGCAACCCTCCCAGTTGCGACCCCCCTCTTGCCGTCGCAAAAAATTTTTTGCGACGGCATTAGGATGCCGTCGCAAAAAGCTGAAATTTTAGTAGTGTACTCATTTGGAGATTATGAGAAGTTATGAAATATGGAAAGATGATGGAGAACAAGGAGCATGAAGTGGAGGTTGAAGGAAGTTATGAAAAATCATGGAGTATGAAATGGAGGTGGAAGAGTGGGTAGTTTTAGGTATTTTTTCCTACAAATATTTGTCTATAAATAGCTATTCATGGCTATATTGTAAAGGATCCAGAACTAAAATAAAAAATAATTGATTTCTATTTTTCTGGTCATTTATATTTCTTACATTTTATTTTACGCACTTCCTTTTCGAAGCATTTATTTTCAGCACTTCATTTTCAAAGCATTTTATGCACTTCCTTTTCAAAGCATAGGAGTAGAGATAAATAATTGTTACTTTGATTGTTCACTCAATCACCCCGATTGTTCAGCCAATCACATTTCTCTCTCTTTCTTCTTGTTTTGTTAATTTTTCTTTTCTCTACACTTGACAATTTTGAAATCCTTTTCATTGAGGTAAAAGAACCGTCAATGCAATCGCTTGATAATTGGCTTGAATTTAATCTGTAAGGATTTTTCAATCCTTCCTGGCACGCTCGTATTTATGATATTTTCCTTCGAAGGAAAAATAAGCCAACAATTTTTGGCACGCCAGTGGGACGTCAAGTGTAAGAAATGAAAAATAAATTGGATTCGTCCATTCTAAATAGCCTAGATGAAATCTTTTGGTGTAAACAGAAAATTTTAGATCTTCAAGAAAAGATCTATTTTCTTGATGAAACAAACTTCCATCCATTACAATATTGTTTGGTAGAAGAAAAAAATACACCGTTTACTTGGAGTAATTCATCAATTTGATATGAAAATTTGCCAATGGAGACATGAGTTATCAACCCTTCTTGTCAAGTCTTCAATGATCGAATTTTGTGGGGCTTTACAAAATGTTTTCAAGTCATTTGTGACTGAAATTAGTAAAAATATAATTTCATCAATGGCTCAGGGAGTTCAAGAGCCTATTTTTAAAGAGCCAAATTATGAAATTAATATAACGAAAGAGTATGTTCTTGAGCCAAATTTGGCTAAGAACGATGTTCCATGCATGGCTCAGGGGGTCCAAAAACCAATTTTTAGAGAGTCAAGTCATGAAAATAACATACCTATGGGGGATTTTCATAAGCCATTAATGGCTAGTATGGAAAAACAACTCACTTTGCCAAATAATTATGAAAATCAATTTGACAAAAGTCATGTTTTTAAACCAAACATGGTCAAAAATAATGAACAAGCCATTGTTCATGCATTCAAAATTTTTGATATTTTTCAAAGTGTCAAAAAATATGAATCTTCATGGTCACACTATATCATGACTTTTGTTTTTTAAAATCCATTTTGGATTTATGGATCATATCAAACGTTAACTTTGATGGAACGGCTAATAAATAATATTTCGTTATTGCAATATATTGGGCCAAAAATATGGTTATTAGTTGATTCATAAAACCATCACCATTTAGTTTTGTGGTTACCTTCGAAGTATGTCCCAAGACACTTCGAAGCATATTATTAAGAACATGTAAGGATTGTTAAACCTCTTTTCAAAGGATAAATGGTTGTGATGTTATATGTATTCATTGAAAATATCATTTTATAATCACTAATGGCTAGTTAAAATGCCAAACTAATTTCATAGTAATCCAACTCTTTGAATTTGATTCGAAGAGATGTCGTAAGCACTTTCGACGGACGACTTTGATCATTTAGTAATATATGTGACTTCCGAAGAATGGTTTTGTCATCAATAAACACCTTCGAAGTATAACATGGGACGAGAAAGTTTTCGAAATGTGTACCTCTCTTCAAATATCTATAACATGGCAATTAATTAATTGGCAAATAATGCCTATTTGCCATTTGTTACATGAAATGTAACTAGTATTGTGACGCCCCAAATTTTAAGGACATCATAATAAGATTTAGAACTTAAAATCAATGTTGCCACCAAATATCATTAACATCCATTAATTAACAACCCAGAAATTTAAAGTTTTAAAATTACAATTCTAATAAAACTTAAAACTTAGTCTCGGTACGAAAAAAAAAAGATTACACAAATATAAAAGAAAACTAGAGAAAAACTAGGAAACTGAGAATATGGTTCATAGAACTTGGGGACTCTTCAAGCTAACCAAGGCTGAATGTCGCCTTGAAAGGCCTTGGTGTTTCCTTCTTTTTCTTCGGTACCTGGCATGAAACGCCAGGGCAACGGGAATGCTAATGAGCGACGAGCTCAATAATATACTACAACCTGAAAATATCCACCCCGATAATAATAATCACAATTAATGAATAATACGTAATAACAGAATAACAGGTAGCATTTAATAAGCATAACGGGAATGCCAACAGTTTAAATAATAACAATAGATAAATAAATAAATAAATAAATGGAAAACAGAAACAGTATTTCATCATAAGGACAATACACACTTTTCGTTTTAAATTCTCATAGATTTAGTTTATCAGATAAATTTAAGTAACTCCTCGCGGAGTACTATTTCCACTCAACCGCTAAACAATGGCCACGGGAAATTCTGATTCCCCCTTGGTCAAATATTCAAATGTTACTTGCTGTAACTACCAATGATGCCGCACCAGGGTTACGTACCCGAGTCGTGACATCACGGTCTGCCCCAAGGGAACGGTCTATGTTGTGACACCCGCACCACCACCATTATATCGCCTACACCAATAAGAGCTGGAATACCTTCCCGTGCCATGTTAGGGTTCGCAACTCACTTGCACAAGATTCTAAACCGGGCTCACCCCATCACTTTTTTTTTTTTTAATGTATCATCGGTTCAATTTCTTGTTTCTTTACTTCGTTGAATTCACATCTTTATGCATGTATGAGTTTTAGTTTGAGAACCACAGTGACATAAGGTTCATATAGCACAACACAATCATATATGGAAACTAAAATAAATGTGATAGAATGCCTTAGGAATCATTACAAGATTTCTTAAGGATTCACACACTTCTTCTTTCAGGACTGTATGATCAAACAAAAAAATATGAAACCAATACCAAATGAAGTTCAACCATTATAATATTTTAACTGGTGCTAGTTCATTGAGTTAGGAAAATACTTCGAGAAGAATACCAGGGCTAAAAATGATTTTAAAATGGAGAAATAATTTTTGGAAGAAAACTGGTTTTCTAGGACAGTGAGTTACATTAACCTCCAGCATAGGTGTTTTGCGTTCGAAAAATAAAAAGCGGCCTCAAACGGTGTCGAAAAGAGGCATGGTTAAATGGTTTGCTAAATTTTTGAGTTTAGAAAAAAGCGGCCTCAAACGGTGTCGAAAAGAGGCATGGTTAAATGGTTTGCTAAATTTTTGAGTTTAGAACATATTTATAGAAGAGTTTGAAGACTGAAAACCAGTGGAAGATGGTCAAATAATTTTTATAAGAAAACTTGACAGATTCTGTCACATTGTGGAAAAATTGACGTTTCTCTCTCAATACTTCATAAAAAATTATGAAACTAGCGGAATTTGAAAGGTAACTTAAAAATATAACTTTTCCAATTTGAATCACTTGAAAAATCATTCTGTAAAATAAACGGTGACCTGATAAAGTCAGCATTGCTGCTTCCACCAGACAGCAATGAAGTTAAAAACATGTTTTGACCACAAAACGTTGTCAAATAATTTTTATTTCGATAATCTAGTACCATGAGAACATGGTAAACAAACACCAGTAATTTCAAAATTTTTGAAAGTGTTCTCATGAGTTTGTTTGAGTTTATTCAAAAAAGATTAAAAATCTGTTTTGCTGGAAGTTCAGTATTTTGTGAAAATCACACCTTGTATACGCCATGAATCACATGCAAGACTAAAGAAATTTGTTTCTTGCTGTTATTCTCATGTGAAACTCTAATCCTTCATATTTACTTTCATTAGTGGTGATAGGGATTAGATAAAAATAATATTTATGAAGAATGAACACAAATTCATAAGCATGCAAGACTAATTCAAACGATGGAGAATATTTGAACACATAAGAAGAAAAATCAGTAGCTAAACCATCTAATCCACACTTGCAAGAAGGATAGAAATCATATAATCATAAGATCGTCAATCTATCAACATGCATTGAGTTATTGTATATTAACCATGCATACTCTTGCGTATATATATATATATTTTTTTGATGTATAGATTTAGTGAAACAAAAATATATAAGGAAGGATAGAGGTTGAGTATTCTTACTTCAAGAGCTCCTT